GTCCATGGTACTCTCAATACTCTTCTCCAGCACCACAGCTCAAAGGTATCAATTCTCCTTCTATCCTCTCTACTCATTGTCCAACTCTCTGATGCATAGCAAAGACCATGGCCTGTATCAGACGCATCTTAGTCTCCAGAGAGACACCTTTGCTCTTCATTATTTTGGAGACATCCCTAACAGCAGACTTTCCCATCGCAATATGTCTTTTAATTTCCTGGCTGCTGGTGTCAAGAGGGTTGACTGTGGAGCCAGGCAGCCTAAAGCTGTGAACAATCTCAATCTCTTCACCATCCATCTTGATGCTGCCAGTTGGTCCAGTGGTGAGAATCTTTGTCTTCTTGACATTGAACCTCAATCCATATTGAAAGCTGCAGTCCTTGACCCTCGGCAGCAAGCACTTCAGGTCCTCCTCAGTTTCAGCAATCAGGGTTGCCTCATCTGCATAATGCAGATTGTTGATAGATCTTCCACCAATCCTGATACCACATTTCTCCTCATAGAACCCAGCCTCCCGGATGATCTGTTCTGTGTACAGGTTGAAAAGGTATGGAGATAGGATACATCCCTGGCATATACCCTTCCCAATTTTGAACCATGCAGTGTTTCCTTGCTCTGTTCTGATGACTGCCTCTTAGTCCAAATAAAGGTTTCACATTAGCCCGATCAAGTGTTCTGGTACTCCCATTCTTCTCAGAGTCAACCACAGTCTGTTATGATCCACACAGTCAAATGCCTTTGCATAATCAACGAAGCACAGATAGACATTCCTCTGGTACTCCCTGATTTCAGCCAAGATCCATCTAACATTAGCTACAATACCAAGAGGATGGTATATAAATAAAAATGAATCGAAGAATACACTATATGGCTTATACCTAACAGCTGTAGTTTTGAGTTTTTGTTTTAAATGTGACAGTAAATAAAGCCTTCTTCTTTGAGTTTAACACTAGCCTCTTCTTTTAGCTCCTCTGAACGAAGGGGTGTGTGGTTGGTAGCCCCCTTGATTGCCAAGCTGCCAACATCTGTGCAGGGAAGAGTGTTGAAAGCTGCCGGGGAAGAGCTGGAGAAGGGACAGCACTTGGGCTCCTCCTCCAAGAAGGAGAGAGATAGGCAGAAACAAAAAAGGTAGGACACAAAAGGGTGTCTCTATAGGTGAGAGGAAAAAGAATATCTCACATTTTGCAAATACTCAAGGGAATTAACCCGCAAGTCACAGAAATTTTATTTTTAAATGAAATTGGAAATACTCTTTGTTAGGGAAGATCTTTTCTAAAGAAAGTTCCAGTTTATAGTATCCAGTCCAATAGTTTCTCAGCTCTGACAGTGTATCCCTCTTAGTATTTGTTAACATTTCCAACATCTGACCCCTTCTTAAGACCTACTGAATCATAACTGGATTTTGTCTGGTCGTTATACTTTATTTTTTCATTATTTATACCTGTTTATATTTATTGTTGCTGTTGATGATTGCCTTCAAGTCAAGCACGACTCCTAGTGACTCTATGAACAAAAGGCCTGAAGCTCCTCTACAACTATCAAGTTCATAGAGTTCATAAAGAGGCATGTTGTTTAGGAAGTGTATGCCACAAATCCTGTGTGATTTCTAATAGAATTGTTGTCATTTTCAACTCAGAAAGAATTACTGATACTTTTATCACCAGGGCTGTTTTTTCAGATTACTGATACTTCGTAGCCATCAAGTTTGATGGTTTCCTAAATTATTTTATGTCCTCTAAAGAAGTGTGAAATACTTATGCTTGAAAAGTACCTTTGTTACTGAGAAAGAATAAAATCTCACACTAAAGTCAAAACAGTTAATTTCAACAATGACCATAATTTAATCTTAAAATTCCTAAACATCCAGGCTTCATGTCTTCTAATTAATGATATTTTATAGTGGCTTCCATTTATTGAGCTATTCCAAAATGCAGATACTTTTATAGAACTGAATATATATATATATATATATATATATATCGTTATTAAATTCTCACAGAAATCTTACATGGCAGCTTTCCTCATTATTTCCTTTGTTATAGAAGAGACTGAAATATTGAAAGGTTTATATAAGCTGCTGAACTTCCCACAGCTAAGAAGTGATAAAACTGGGTTTAATCTTAGACTGTCTGGCCTCTGAGGCAGTTAGTACATTTACAGTCAGTGTGTCCAGAAAACTAGAATTAGGCCTGTATCTTTTGTTTTCTTGGTGGTTATTTCATTATCTTTGCCATAGGAATTAACCAATATGAAGACCTAATTTCTTTTCTTACTGGGTGATGGTACTTCTGTTCCTTTATATTCCAGGGGAGAACAGGTGATGTTGTAGAGACTTAACAGATGAGTTCTTCCAAAACTAATGTCTCTCAGTACTACTGGTGTAAAAGGAAGCAGCTTTGACTTCACTCTATTTTAAGAAAAAAATTTGATAGCTTTTGCCTGCTGATTAAAAAAAATAATAAGATACCAAGTTAAAATGGAATTTCTACCACATTCCTGTAAAGTTACGTGCAAGCCCGGTTTGTGGGGTGTGTCTTGTAGAGTGGCCACCAGAGATCTCTAGTAAGCATAGGCTGGTGTCTTCATGCCGAGGTTGCTTATCTTAACTCTGCCATTATTCCTCACTTGGTGCTGATATACAAAATAAAGCAAACAAAATAAGAGCATAGCATTCACATAGGCCTGTTTCCTGGTCTTTAAAAGAAAAATTTTCCAGGCTTCTATTTTACTCTGTGTGTACATTGATCGTCCTTCTTAGATGTGTGTTTAAGCTTTTGATATTGATGTATAACAGTTTTCTCAAATCCTTCCTCAGATTTCCCACCCTGTGCAGTTTGGAAATACTTTCATGGGACAATAGATTATATTAAGTTGTTTAGAAGCAATACAGTGGCTTTTAATCTTATTTGTGAAGATAGAATGTACTCTTTCAAGTCTTTTTTGGCCATTTATTTCTACCTTCCTCTATTTTAATAGTGCAGTAAATAAAAGCAAACAAGGGAAAGGAAGAAAGTAATCTGTTCTTTCTAACTTAATTTTCATGTTGTTATTTCCTTTGTAGTATGTCTCTCTTGAGTCAACAGCCTTTCCTTTCACTGGTTCTTACCTGCCTTAAGGGACAAGATGAACAACGGGAAGGCCTCCTAACATCTCTCCAGAATCAAGTTAATCAGGTAAAGGATAGTGTAACATTAGGTCAGGACAGTTTCCTTGAGTTGCACCAATTAATTTTCCTTTCTAATTCAGAGATTAAACTAAGAAGAGTACTCAATGATTTGGTCAGATGGTGAGAAACAACGCATGCATTTATTCTCCTGCATTGTGTTCTAGACACCACAAGATGAAAAGTTTTATAATATTAGTTATGCCTATAGACTATAAAAGCACAGTTGGACACATAAGGAGTTCTGGTGACATAGTGAGTAAGGAATTGCATTGCAAATCCAAAGACTGCTGCTCTGTGGCAGGAAAATAGGCTTCTCCCTTGTGGTTTACAGTGTCTGAAAATCCACTGGAGGATCAACTAGAGTGAGTTCTGAATCCGCTGCAATGAGTGAATGGGTTCATGCATTGCATATAACATTGAAATATTTGCTCCTCTCTGCCTATTAGGATCAGACCTAGAGAAATCCATGTTGCACTATAGATGGCAACAAAACAGAAGAGTTCACATCCAAATCAATGGATTTGAGCTCTTAGGGTTCTGAAACTCAATAAAGTTGTGAGCACATGGCTTTAAAAAAATAAAAAAGATAGTTGCTATTGCTATTCCCCCTTATATTTTCATGACTATCATCTTTTCAATAGTAAATTTTCAAATCTTTCTTCCAAGGAGACACTGAGTAACTGTTTGCATCATACAAGGACTCCTTTTTTGCACTCATTTACAAATCAAAAGACATATTAGTTCATTTTCAAAGAGGATAAATTCTGTCTTTCACCAACCCAAACTCAAATTAGACATTAGAACAAAAGCTCAAAGAGGGTCCATGTGACATATTTTCTTCACACCACAAAGCCCAGCAGAGCCCTCATTGTGATGTTATTTTGGAGCATGATCCTAAGTTTCTCCCTTGAACGGTCTTGGGGAGGCATGGACACAGTCCTTACTGGCCTCTTCATCACTGCTTATCTTTTTGTATAAATTGGAGCGATTGTCTAGCTAGCAACCAAGGCGATTCTTTTTTTTTTCATAATTTTTTTTTATTTTACACTAGTTTACTTACAGAGTTTGTATACATTGTTTTTCACACTAGATCTTTCCTATTTCCTTTACTCACCCCTCCCCTCCACCTATCAAATTGTGAGACCGTATGATTAACCTCTCACACCCTACCCCACCTCATCCATCTACACTCCTTTACTACCTCCCTTGGATTCTCAGTCATGGTCTACAATAGTTCTTCTATGCAGTATTTGTCCTTATAGGACTGAGTTTGTTTATAATGCTCTCCAGTTCCTCCCAGGTTGGTAGTGATTTACAAAATCATTGCTCCTGTGTGCTGCATAGTGAATCATGTGAATGTACCATAATTTCTCAATCCATTCCATTGTGGTTGGACATTTGGGCTGTTTCCACGTTCTTGCAATGGTGATTAACGCTGCTATGACTATTGGTGTGCAAATCTCCATTTGTTCCTCGGTTCGTATTCTCTCAGGGTATATTCTAAATAGTGGAATACATGGATCATATAGAATTTCTTTGTTTACCTTCTTAAGGGAACACCAAACTGCCTTCTAGAGTGATCGTACCATTTTATAATCCCACCAACAATGTATAAGAGTCCTATCTCTGCACGTCTTCTCCAGTATTTATTATTTGCTGTCCTGTTAAACTTTGCCACTGCCACTGGGGTGAGATGGTATCTCATTTATTTGATTGCCCTTATTGCCAGTGATTTGGAGCATCTTCATGTGTCTGTGGGCCATTTGAATATCTTCTGTGAAAATCTTCCATGTCATTTACTTATTTTGTAATTGTTGTGGAGGTCCGATAGGATTCTGTAGACTTTTGGCAGGAGACTCTTGTCTAAAATGGTATTGAGAAATGTTTTTTCCCCAATCAGTAGGTTTACTTTTCATTCTATTGTAAAAAATTTTGATGCACACAGGGATTTAATCTTTAAAAGGTCACATTCATCCCTTTTATCCTCTCCAGATTGCATTTCTGTCGGTATTTGTCAGTCTCTTTATACTAGAGACTCAACTGTCTTAAGCTTGATCCCAGTTTGTCTGTAATTAACTTTATAGTTTTTGGCTTTACTCCCAGGTCTCTGATGCTCATTGAGTTGATTTTTGTGTATGGTGTGAGATGTGGATCCTGTTTCAGCTTTCCACAGGCTGCAGTGCACTTTTGCCTGCACCATTTATTGAAGAGGATGTCATTTCCCGATTTTGTAGGCTTTATTTCCTTGTCAAATATTAGTTGACCATACATAGATGGGTTTATTTTTGGGTTCTTAGTTCTGTTCCATTGTCTAAGTGCCTGTCATTGTACCAGTACCATGCTGTTTTTGTTACTACCCCTTTGTACATCTTTTGAATCTCAAGTTGTTAACTTCCAAGTATCTCGACTTATGGTTGGCTTTTGTAAATGGTATTGCTTTCGTGGTTTCCTTCTCAAGTTCTCTTTGTTACTGTAGAGTAAATCCCACTGATTTTTGGATATTGATCATATATCCTGCCACTCTTAGTAAATTGGTCTACTCGCCCTAATAGGTTTTTTGCTGAGTCCTTGGAGTTTTCTGTGTATACTATCTTATTATTTGCATGGAGCAATAGTTTTACCATCTTTTTACCAATCAGGATGCCTTTTATTTTCTTCTCTTGTATTGACCTAATAAGCACTTCCAATATGATATTAAATAGCCGTGGCGATAGTGGATATCCTTGTCCTCCTGTTCATGAGGATAATGCTTTTAGTGTTGCTCTTTTGAAAATGATATTGGTTCTTGGTTTTGCATATATACTTTTCACTATGTTGAGGAAATTCCCTTCTATTCCAATTTTGCTGAGTGTCTTTATCAGGAAAGGGTATTGGATTCTTTTCAACTGCCTTTTCTTGCATCAATTGCAGAATGATTCTTGTTTTTTGCTTTGTTAATGTGGTGAATTGCTTTGATTATTTTTCCTATGTTGACTCTTCCTTGCATACCCATTATGAATCCCATTTGGTCATGATAAATTATTTTTTGATGTGCTTTTGGATTCTATTGGCTAGGATTTTGTTAAGGATTTTTGCATCTATATTTATGAGAGATATTGATCCATAGTTTTCTTCCTTGGCAATATCTTTGCTTGGTTTTGGTATCAGGGTTATGCTTGTTTCATAGAATGACTCTGGGAGTATTCCTTCTTTTTGTGTATTTTGAAATATTTTAAGTATAATCAGTGATAGATTGATCCTCTCTGAATGTTTAGTAGAAATCAGCTGTGAAACCATCTGGTCCAAGACTTTTTTTATGGGGAATTCTTTTAATGACCTCTTAAACTTCTTCTTTTGTAATGGGTTTGTTCAGGTGTTCTAAATCTGCCCTTGTCAATCTTGATAATGCATGAGTTTCAAGAATTTGTCCATTTTCTCTAGGTTTTCTAATTTATCAGAGTATAGATTTTCATAGTATTCCAACATTAATGGATTTAATTTCATCTGATTTTATCATGTTGTCACCTCTATCATTTCTTAATTGAGTTATTAGTGTCTTCTCTCTTTTTTTTTTTTTCCATTTGTTTAGGTTGCCAGAGGTTTGTCAATTTTATTGACCCTTTCAAAAAACCAACTCCTGGTCTTAGTGATGGTTTCAATTGTGTTTCTGTTTTCTATCTCACTGATTTCAGTACACGTCCTTGTAATTTATTGTTTTCTTCTAGAGGCTGTAGGATTAGATTGTTATTTGGTGAAGGTGTTGAGTTAGACAGTTTATTTTCCTTCTTCTTTTTTTTTTACTTCCTTCTTCCTTTTCTATGTGTGTGCCTATTACTATGAACTGCCAGCTGAGTACTGCCTTAGCAGCATCCAAGAGATTTTGTATGTTGTATTTTCATCTTTGTTTGTTTCAAGAAACTTTCATTTCTTTCTTTATTTTTTATAACCCAATTGTGTTCTAGCAGAGAGTTATTCAGTGTCCACAGGGGTAGTTTTATAAGCTTTACTCTCCTGTGGTTAATTTCCAGTTTTATGGCATTGTGGTCTGAGGAAATAGTTTGCACTGCTTCAGTGTTTCTTAATTTGTTGAGTGTTACTTTGTGTCCTAATATCTGATTAATTCTGGAGAATGTACTGTGTGCCCTTGAAGAAGGTGAATTGAGTTTTAGTTGAGTGTAATACCGTGACTACACCCAAAAGGTTGAATTGGCTGATTGTATAGTTTAGATCTTCTGTATCTTTGCTGAGTTTCTTTTGAGTTGATCTATAACTTGGTAATAATGATATGTTGAAATCTCCTACCACTATTGTGGTGTTATTTCTTTCTTCAGTTCTGTTAAGTGTTATTTTATATGTTTTGCAGGTCTAAAATTTGGTGCCTAGATGTTGACCCTGGTTATATCCTCTTGATCTTTTGTGTCTTTAATCAGTAGCTGCGCACTGGGGAAGGTCACCTCGGATAACAGCAAAGAGGCTTCTTTCAGGTAACCAGGCAAAACCTGCCGGAGAAGGGAAGACGGGAAGCTGCGCACTGGGGAAGGGCACCTTGGATAACAGCAAAGAGGCT